ACCATGTGACTCTGGAATAGTGACTCCGGCATAGTGACTCCATCCTGTGACTGTCGTTGCCGCCCTGTCCAGTGACGGTCGTCGCCGCCCCCCATCCAGTGACTGTCGCTGCCCCATCAGTGACTGCCCCCGCCCATCAGTGACTGCCCCTGTCATTGACTGCCTCTGTCCTCCAACCAGTGATTGAGGCTGCACCTCCGACTAGTCGCTAGGGGCTGCACCACCGGCCAGTGACTGTCGCCCCACCGGCTAGTGACTGCTGTTGCCTCCCCGGCCAATGAGTGCCGCCCCCACTGCACCATTAGCAAGGTCCGCAACCCCATTCACATGATACTTTGTGCGGCCACCAGATCTGATGGAATCGTCTCCCTCCGCTGCCCCGTCCAACGTCGCCGCCCCTGCCCCCTCGGCTTCCCCCGACCGCCTACTTCTTGTCCCCAGTCCCATCCGCTAGATCTACACACCAGAACCCTACATCCATAAGCACCAGATCCCCACCCAGCCCATGTCCCCATCTCCTTCCCCTGCCCCTCTCGTTCCCACAGGCCACAGGCCACTCTCTGACATCAAGGATGGTGGATGGATCTGAGACGTCGTCCACCGAGGTCGACAGATCCGGAACTAGCGGTCTCAAATCGAGTCGTAATCCATCGTGAAAGGCGAATCCACCACCGTAAGCCATAGTACCAGTGGAGGCGCAGCCGTCGAGGAGGATGGCGAAGGTAGTCGGTTTCAGTTGCAGTCGACGGAGATGGTGAATGTCGGCGGTTGCATCGGTGAAGAAGAAACAAGAAGGAGAATATTTTTTGTTGTGCGGAGACGACGGCGGAAGAACAGAGGCAGCGAAGCCCTGAAGAAGGATATGGAATGATGAGGATGGGTTAGTTACGTTCAAAAGATTTGAATGTCTTCCCAATCGAATTTTGAGGTGAAATTTGGTATGGACAAACTAGACTTGATGAGGAACATGCTCAAAAAATTTAATCAAAAAATTCCACCGGGAAGGTCGCGAATAGGGTTTGGCCGGACGGCTCTTCCGGTTAGACCGGCCTGACATGATGATTTCTCAATATGTAACACTTATATTAGTAGTAAACCAATTATCTTCATTTTTATTTGTTTGAGTAATCTCAACCAACATCATAACTAACTTTTTTGTTAGTTATGTAACAAACAATAAGGGTAGGTTGGGTTTTTGGATGGTATTACTCGATAGATTTCTAGTTGGAGGCAATCAGACTGATTCAGCCGCTGATAACTTCTATGTTCTCACTACTTCAGCAATTAATCTCGCTCTTTTCGAGGTGGACTATTCTATGTCCGATCATGACGTGAAGGGCCGACGGGATTTTGAAATTGGTTGGATAGATTCTGTGGTATGGTTCTTGTTATATTTTGGTTGGTTCTTGAAATTTAAACTTAATAACCATATCATTAATTAATCAAATCAATAAGCATGTGTCTTACAATATACTCCCTTCATCCCTCTATAATTGTCTCAGTTCCTATTCATTTGGCCGACACAAATCAATCTATTAATTTATGTATCAAATTTGATTCTGGTTTTTTGTGACTTTGTAAAGATTTTAATGTAGTTTCTAAATATGTAAGTTTTTCTCTAAAAATAGTTTAATTGCGGACAGAGATCCGTTTGATTTATCGTCGGTCAAACATCATAAACCGTGATGGGACAATAATATGGGGACGGAGGTAGTAATTAGGAATGACATCAACATTAATTTGCTGATCTGGTAGCAACACGCCTTGTCTAGGTGATGCATGGGCAACCTGATTCGCAGATCGCTTACAAAAAGATACTAAAACTGCACTCTGTTTTCAACAGACCTCGTATATCTTCTAGCACCAGATCAAAATATTCACCTTTATAAAACCTGTCTGAGGCTTCTTCCAACAAAAAATTGAAGAACATCATATTAACTTATTTTCAAACATTGCTGAGAATCGTGGTTCTTCGAGAAGTTGAAGTACATGTATATGGGTCGGGTTAAGGTTAGACCAGCGGAGAGTAGTCCTTGACATACCCTAGATTGTCGAGGTTGTAGAGCTCGGTGTGGACGTCCATGGAGACCTACGATGGGGGTTGGCGAAGAAAACATGAAATCCAAAGGTTGAGCCATTTATATATAAAATTCTCTATTAGTAAAAAATTAAAAAAAATCAGTTTTTGAAAATTTCCAATGAGACAAATTTAATAATATATTTTTCAAAAAATATATATAAATACATCATTAAATAAAATGTAGTCAAAGTAGAACATGTGAATAGTGTAAAATTTCACATGTTGCACTTATTTAAGAACGGAGGTAGTATCTTAAATGACAACTGCCATTTCGTACAAAAATATAAAAAATTAGCAACCTCCTAAATACGCTAAACTACCATTATTATTCTCTAATTGCTCTTACCTAACACCCTAAATCATTGAAGCACAACAAAATTATCATTTTGTACAAAAATATTAAAAAGCAATAATCTCTTAAATACACTAAAGTATCATTACTATTTTCTAATTACTCTTACTTAACATCCTAAATCATTGACGCACAACAAAATATGAAAGACTTAGAAGATGTTCCGTTCATTTGATATGAACTGATATGAATATTTTAAAATCTGGTCTAACCTGATATGGATATTTATGTTCTCATTTTATACGGATCTCATCTAAATTTTCTTATTTGATCTGAATCCTTCTTATCTAATCTGAATATTTCTAATCTGATTGAATGTTTATTATAATTAAATTATTAGTACTATTATTGTTATTGTTATTATTATTATTATTATTATTATTAGAGAAAATTTGACTTTGCACCCTATATTTTACGTGACATTTGACTAATAAATGACTTTGGACTTTATTTTAAAATCATTAATGTATGCATGCAAATTCACTATAAAATCATTTCACTTTGAACCTCACTCCTTCACAATTTTTGGCTAATGGGGTGCACACATTAATAGTTTTAAAAATGGGATACAATGTCAAATATCACTCAAAACATGGAGTGCGAACTCTAATTTTCCCTTTATTATAAATATCTATAACTATAATCATAATTATCATTGTAATTATAATTATAAATATAATTATAAATTACATATTTTGTATGATGATAAATACTCCAAGATTACAAAATAGTGAATTTTATTTTATTAAGTTTAACCAAAATCAAAGAATGTTATTTTGGAAAATGTGACGATGTGTTCAAAATTTTGTACGTAACAAGACTATAATTGATATTTACGAATTTTTGAAGATAAATGCGCAGTTAAACAACGCAGTACATTTCAGAAAATGGGGCAAATAAGCCCTCGAACTATTTGCAATTCTGCAATCAGACCTCTGAACTTGAAGAATTACAGATACACCCCTCAACTCACTGAAAATGATGCAATCAGATCCTTTTTACCTGCTGGTGCCGATAATTTTTCATCTTCTTACCCCCCACCAACAGGTAAAAAAGAAGCTGATTGCATCATTTTCAATGACTTAAGGGGTGTATATGCAATTCTTCAAGTTCACGGGCCTGATTGCAAAATTGAAAATAGTTGGAGGGTTTATTTTCCTCTTTTCTCTTGACCCTTTAGCCTATTTTTTAAAAGTTAAGTGCTTAATATAAAGGATGACACATAAATCTTCTGAAAGCTGGATCACACATAGAAGTTAGGATGTTTTCTTTTTTACTGAACTTTGCTGGTCTGGTCTGGTCTGTTTAAGTCTGGTCTGGTCTGTTTAAGTCTGGTCTGGTCTGGTCTGAACTGGTCTGTTCTGATCTGGTAAACGTCTGGTCTCTGTGTATTTTATAACTACGGAAGTCTGGTCTGGTCTGGTCTGGTTTGTTTAAGTCTGGTCTGGTCTGTTTAAGTCTGGTCTGGTCTGTTTAAGTCTTGTCTGGTCTGGTCTATTTAAGTCTGGTCTGGTCTGGTCTGGGACTGAAAACAGTCCAAAAGAAAACATGTAAAGCTTAAAACCAAAAACATTCTATCATCAGGGTGGAGAGAGGGAGGGGTTGGAGGGGTTCTCGCCCTGATCCCAAAGAATAAAGGGAAAAGTAGCAAATCAGCCCTCAAACTAACATAAATATTGCAAACCATCCCTTTTGTAGGAGGCTTTGTCAGGCCGTCGTCATTTGGGGTGGTTCCCGGTGTAATTTTTTGACGACATTTTTTAGCATAGTCTTTAAGTCTAGTTTACTCATACCAAATTTCATCTAACAATTCAATTGGGAAGACAGTCAAATGAATTTTTGAAGATAACTGCGCTGTTAAACTGTGTATTATATTTCAAAAATTCATTTGACTGTCTTCCTGGTTGAATTTTTAGCTGAACTTTGGTATGGGCAAACTAGACTTAATGAATAAGATGCTAAAAAAATTTCATCAAAGAATTCCACTGGGAACCACTCTAATGGCGATGGCCGGACAGAGCCTCCTATAAAAGAGGTGATTTGTAATATTTATGGAGTATGTTAGTTCGAGGGCTGATTTGCTACTTTTCCCAAGAATAATTGTTATGTACTTATATATAAATGTTTGTAATTTATGAATAGTATATTGTGGTGTTAATCTTTGTGCCCCATTACCCCCATAGTTCCATACTACTAGTATAAAATTTTACGCCCCGGTCCCCAAATTAAAAATATCAGCCTATCGGGCAATGAAAACTGCTAGCACAAACAATTAATGGCATACCAATAATACAGAGGTAAGAGTTGGCCATCGATTATCAAACAAGAGCAAAGTATAAAATTGTATAGAAAGAGGATAGTAAAGCAAATTAAAAAATTAGTTCAAACTTAATAAATTTATGTTACTTCAAATAAATATATTAAAGCAAAGTTTAAATTTCAAATAAATTTAATAAAGCAAAGTTTAATATGTTTAAATTTATGTTCAAACAAAGAGGAGTAGTAATTTGTCTATTTGTTCATTCAGTTTTTGACTAATTTGCTGTTTACATAAATAAAGATTTCTTACGGTGAATCGAAACAAAAAACTTAATTAATCAATCATAAATTGCATCTCTAAAAAGTACTAACAATTGATGTGCAGAAAGCAAAGTAAAAACCTTTGTGATGGTTAAGCACCATCCCAGTTACACAGCTAATATAACTCGCCTATGATATATATTTATATATATATTTCATGACATGCCTCTATATATGGTCTATATATACAAAAATGACCAAAGCATCTATCAAGAATTCAACTTCACATAAAAAGCTTGAATTGCATTTGTTATGCATGATTTCACTACTAGCTTAGCTGTATTGCTGTTCATAATCTCCATTCTTTTCCACGTAGTATTCATCAATGGCGGCGATCTTCACTCCTTTCCCGGAGCTTACTTTATTACTGCCATTAGTATTCGACCGAAGTTTCATCCCGATCCAATTCCCGACTTCTTTCTTTAAGGAATGATCTTCGAGATGATCGTCTTCCTTCATCAAGTCACTAGGCGGCAAGAAGCAATCCAAGGAAAGCCCCTTGATGTTAAAGTCAACTTCTTCGATGTTCCAAAGCTCTTCCATTCTGGTTCGCGTATTCTCTTCCTCGTTTTCCCCGAACCTGAAAAGAGACACGGACGTTCTGCCAGCGTGGGCGATGTTGACTCCGTTAACCGGGCGGTAGTCTTGGATCAATGACTCCATGTTCGTCTCCCAGTAGACATTATCGTTGTTGGGGGATTTGATCTTGAGAAGGTGAGAGTCTTCTAGTTGGACAAGGAGGCCTGTTCTTTGGCTGAAGTACCCCCACATTGTGTGCTTTATTATCTCTACATTGCCGCTGCTTCGTGCTTTCAAGCTTTTCGCCTCTGCTTCTAGCTTTAAGACGAAGCAGTCTTCTCCGTTGACGGGTTTCTCCCCCGTGCAGATGGCATTTGAGAACAGATTTGCAGTTGACCTTGGGTCAAGACCCTGGAGTTTGAAAGATAGTTAGGAATCAAGTACTTTTTCACATACCTAAACACATGTATTTATTGTTTCTTGGCATTCTTGCACAGTTTATTTGGCTTCCTTTTAGCATACTGCATTTATTCATAGTTCTTTAGTATCGTTGTAGAAATCTTTATATATACTAATTTGAAGGTATAATGATACTACACAGTTTCAAATGCATTACAAAATTTTCACTAGGAAAAATGAATTCCGGTACACACAATGTTTTGTCATAGAAATACTTCTTCCAATGTTCAGAATGATACAAAGAAAATTATAGATGGTGAATAGAAGCAAAAAAAATTGGTGATTCTTGATTTTCTGTTTCTAAAAGTATATAAACACTGTTTTCATTTTGAAAACTATTTAAAAACTCTCTGGACACTTGCTTTTCTATTATAACAATTTCACTTTCATGCCTCCATGCAATATAGAACCCTAATTTCAGAAGGCACGTGACAGACAAGGTGTGTACTTATGCAATTTAGACGTTATGCTTGAAATCGAAGACCAAAACCAAAAGATTCAAGTGTAAAAGTCGATAACCGTGCATGCGAGAACGTTGAAGCCTAAAAACATATAAGTCAAGCCTGAAGAATAGGCAAAGAGAAAGTCTAAAATCTGCTCAATTTATGATGCTTTTAATTGGATTGATTTAGTGTAGACCATACCTGACTTTGACGATTTTAATATACACATAAAACAGACACCGGACATTCAGTCAACTTGAGCAAAACTATACTACCAACTTTAAATTTATCATAATGACTACTTATAATTTAGATGAGTCATTCAACGTTTAGTTTTTTTCTTATGTGTCTAAGAAAAACTAATAGGCCAATCAATTATAGAAATGTTTTATTGATCTTATGGACTAATTGTATCCTAAATATATTATTTATTACCTTAGACCAGAACTTTTATTCCAAGAGAATTATGTCCGGTACGAAAATACCAACAGTGTTGACAAAAGAATGATATGCTACTTTTTTCCCCAAAGTAAGGCGACTTATTTCTATGCTACAAGTTGTTATACGAGAGTGGAAAATTGCCCAACCAAACGGCTAGCTGAAGACCAGCCGCGTGCAGGTTTGGTATAATACAATTCCATTTCAAACCATGTGAATAGTCTGACTTTTAATGAGAAGAAAAAAATTCAAGTTTTTCAATTAAAGCCAACAGTAACATTGACTTTATGACCCAAGCAATTGAGTTAAGGCAGAATCTTATGAAGAAATTGGTCCCAAAATCTGGAGATTAGGAAACAGCCACAGCTGTACTAGTGATACAAATCAGGAAAAGGTTTAACTAACTAAGTTGTCATTATAAAGATGGTGGACAGATTTTCCTAAAGTTGGTCCCATTTCATTGCACAAGGAAAGTGGCCATGAATGTGAATATACCCTCCGAGAATAGCAAAGTGTAAATGCACTTAATGGTTGTGTAATTCCAACGGAGACTTAAAAGAAGTTATATTGTCGTTTTCATATAAAGAGCACAGAAATTCTTTCTAGGCTCGAAAGTAGGATCCATACATTTAAAATACAATTTGACCGTACATAAAGATTTAGAAGACCATTTGGTGTTAAAATCTATGTTAGGAGAATAGTCCGAAGAGATACTATATAAATCACATAATAGGCATCATTTTGAGATGGATTCAAAGGAAAGAATATTATGTTAATGTAGTGTTGATATATGTGTATTTTATGATCTAAAAATCAAATAAGATCTCGACTATTCAAGGTTGATGTAGTTTGATTAGGTCTAAATAAATGTAGTTCGATTTCGGTTGATGTGATGAAGTTAACCCAATCCAAAATATTTTGATTTACAAGACTTGGGAATTTCAAACACAGTCCTACCACTGCCAAAACTCGAACTCAAGAAAACACCCCACCTGATATTTTGGAAGGCGGTAAAAGGCAGAGCTCGAGTGGCACCTATGCGCCACGCGACAAGAAAACACCCAACCTGATAGAAAGGCGTGAAATAGGCGGTCAACTGAAACATTGACCACCACAGGCGTGAAAAAGCTTAAGCCTAAGCGCGAAAGACGAGTTAGTATGCGTGAAAAATTGGAAAAAATTTGGATGGCTTTTTTTTCAAATAAAAAATAAATTAAATTAAAAAAATCAATTTTATAAGCATTATATAAATGGAAACTCATATGGAGTAGTAAAAAGCAATAATATATCATTTTATATTTGCACTTTTTACATTTAAAAATTGTATATTGAAGAAAGTAAAATTCACGCTTATACATACTACGGAGTAATATTTTTTAGGAATGTTGTTCATGTCCGTAATTTCCTAATAGGAACGCCTTCCGGCCTCCGCTTTTTGGGGCGGTTACCGGTGGTATTTATTACTGAAATTTTTTGTGCATGTTCTTTATCAAGTCTCGTTATCCATACCAAATTTCAGCTAAAAATTCAACCGGAAAAGCAGTCAAATGATTTTTGGAAGTTAACTACACCCTTTATATACATATAAAACGCAGTTAACTTCCAAAAATCATTTGAGTGTCTTCCCGGTTGAATTTTTAGTTGAAATTTGATATGGATAAACTAGGATTCATGACGAACATACAAGAACCATTTTGAAAAAAAAAATCAGCAGGAACTATCCCAAACGACTGAGATCTGGGCTTTTATTCAGACCGGGCGGACAGGAATAATCCTTTTTTTTTTAGTATCACTGATTGTGGACTAAGCGCATAAAGTGCTATAGTTAACTTTATTGGTAGGGAAAAGCCCTTTTTTGTAGGGAGCTGCTTTATATAGAGCCCGTTTGGTAGTACCAAAATCGGCTGTTTTGGCTGATTTTGCTGAAATTTATGATATTCTGGCTGGAGTGGCTGTTTTGGCTGATTCTGCTAATTTAAGAAAAAAATATTTTAAAAATATATTTTATTAATAAATTAAAGAAAAAAATTATATGTAAAAATAGCTAAAATGGTCCTCTACAGTAACTTCAGCCAATACAGCCAGAAAAGTAACTCCAACCTTACTTTTTCGGCTTATTACACAATTCAGCGCGCGAAAGTAAAAGTTATGTGTTTGGTGAAAAAGCTGGCTGATAAGCCTGATAAGCCGAAAACAGAGTTCTCCAAACGGGCTCATAGAGTACTACCTAGTTTTTAATTAGATTTGATGCGAAAATTCTCCCTATATTTTAATCGCGTGGGGTTTCATTTTGTATTGGGACAAACGTTATTACAATTACATCAGCGGAATTAGTTGAGGAAGGAGCATCCAAACGTAGGATCTTATCTACTACGGAGTACAACTCTACAAGGTTTATTTTGTGGGAAATTCTTGTTCTACACTTTTTTATTATTTACATGTGTTTGTGGGGGCAATTTTTTGTCTGTGAAAACACTGTTTACACACAAAACATGTTTTGTCTGTGAGCAGTATGCCAATATTTTCACGGAAAAAAAAAGCATGCACAGACACGTGTACAAACGTGTAAACAGAGTACAAAGAGAATTTTTCTTATTTTATTACATTATATTAACAGTATGTATATAATTTCCTCACTACTCATTTAAATTGCAATGTGCAAAAATTTAAGAATGGTCGGCGATAAAATTAAATCAATTTTAATAATTAAAATTTACATATTTGAAAACTATTATCATCATCGTCATCATCACATCAGTGGCACAAAGACTCACACCTACGGTGGGGTAAGGGAGGTCGGAAGTACGCAATCTTACTCCTGTACAAAATCTTACATAAACATTGCTTCATGATGACGCATAGTGAAAATCGCGTCCAGAATTGAATGAATTGACTGATGCTTCGTACAATAAAATAGGGACAATTTAGTCAACCATTATGCTTTATTCCATTATATTTTCAAGCAAAAAATAGCGAGCATGTAGCTTCATTGCAAATGATTGAAGTACACATTTGCCCTATCCCAAAAAAGGGCCCTGACATAGATTTCCCATGTGTCTGCCATAACCCAATATAATCCCATTTGGTAGGAACTATGCGATGAATTAACTACATTCATCATGAATAAAAAATAAATAGAAAAAATTCTTGGGAAAATCCATTTTTTTAACAAAGCAAATGACTTTAAAAACTTTTACTCCCTAATTGTTTTGATGAAACTATGAGCACAATTAGCGGGTTAACAGCTTTATCTTCTTATTAAATGTGAATCAATCATTATTGTCTAATCAAATGGGGTCGAGAAAAACGGCTCATTCAGGAAAAGAACTCGAAAGACGGTAAAGAGAAATAGAAAAACGTTGAAAGAAAGGCAAAAAGAGGGACCCACCTGTAAGGAACGGCGAAGGGGCCTAGGGGGACCTCGAGAGGCGTGAGAGTTCTGCCATGGCGTTTGCCGCCAAGCCAGCTTCCCGTCGCAGCCGGCGCTGATCTTACAGCCGGAAACCACCAGCTCCAAGCTCCATAGCCCAGGCCTCCTCTGCCACAAAACAAAACCACCCACTTCTCCTCCCCCGCTTTTCATGCTCTTCATCTTCATCATCACCGCCTTCCCTTCTCCCTGCAATCCCTCTCCGCCGCCGACGCCGCCGGAAGTAAACTCCGACGCCGCCATCTTCACCTTCCCCATTGCGTACATACTCTCAACGGAATTCATGGCGCTTTCCCCTCCCGCTGCTGCTATGTATTGCTTTATTATGTACTTCGCCATTGAAGACTCCTACATTTCACCCAAAATTCATTACTTTAAATTTTTTCAAATTTAATCTTTACCCCAAAGTTTGCTTACAAATCAAGAAAAAATACCTCACCATAGAAAAATATTTCTCTCACCATAGGCTATATTCAGTTTATCCACTTAAATTACTAATAAGATTTGGAGTTCCAAATATGATCTCAGTTTCTAAGAAAATGTGGTTTAGTGTTTGATGAACCACATTTAGCACTCATGACCATTATAAACACTACCCATAAAATTATTTGAGGAAACGGTCAAGCTGGCTAGTCGTCGACTCACTCACTCTTGAAAGGTCCCAAGTTCAATACTCAATGCAGGGAGTTTGATCTCAGTTTCTGGTCGACCCCGTCTCCCTCCCTCGACCCCGGGTAAAATACCATAAAATTACTTTTATCATATGTCTAAACAAGTTCATGGTAAGAGTTGAAATCTATATTCCCTATTTATTCATTAGTATTAATGCTTTGATCTCAAATAAATGCGATATCTAGTTTTTATGTTCAAATTAACATATTTGAAATGTGTTATAGATGGTAAGATTTGCTAAAATCTTGAGTATTAATACAAAGAAGGGACTAGAGAAGATGAAAATACAAACAGGGGAAGGGAAGAGAGTGCTTACAATGGGATGATCGTTGATTTTGTTGGCGCAAGAATGGTTTGAGGGAATGGGAGCGGGGACGAGCGGAGCTCCGGCGACGCTGAGTAAGAGCTGAATCTCAGCGCTCCGGCCGCCGAAGACGGAGGAGGGAGTGGACTTGTCGGAGTGGGGTTTCATCATCCAGGACTTCATGGTCTGCCAGGGCTTGTTGGCGGTGGTCTTGTGACAGGGGAACATCTCCTCCGGTATGGGGACTTCCAGCACCGTCTCCAGCGCGTCTTCCCGGTCGAGGTTGGGGCAGAGCGTCCTCATCACTCGCCTCTTGGGGAAGAAGAAGAAAGATGAAAGAAAGAAACAGAATGTGAAGAATGAAAGAGAAGTAAACGAAGAGATTGAGAGCGAGATAAGTAAATAGCAGGATTTGTGGGACGAACCGACGCCACCTACGACGTGCCTTTCTTTGTCGTCTGTACGAAAATATATATATGTCGTGATTGCACGCTCCTTCAATAGTTCATACGGAGTAGTTCATACCTCTTTATTGGTTGCATACTATCTTTTATTGATTCAAAATTAAAAGATAGTTTTAATAAATGATGCCGAAAAGTTTCAAATAATTCCTTCAACTTCCAAAACATAAGCGGGTGTCAAGATATTTTCTAGATTTCTAGAAAAGAAAATAGGAAATTGCGATTACCAAATCATTTTCCAAACTAAAAAATATGAGATATATCTCTATTTTCGTTAATGAATTGGAGTTCATTACCCCCAATAAACTCTAAATAATCCCTTACATTGTAATAGGAAAAATTGGAGTTCATATAATTACCCCAATAGAAAAAATTAAATGCCTCAATTCTAGAAAGCCCAAAGTAAAATACTCAATCCGTAATTAATATGCACATATACTTCAACGTCATGCCCCTAAAAATATACTGAGTACTACTCGTACGTACTATATCGTAGTAGGAGTATACTGGATACTTGAGCTTTTGTAAGAAAAGGGAATTATATATCCCTATAGTTAGAACAAACATAAATAAGTACTATGGGATAATATGTACGTATTATGTGTTAATTAACTATTTGAGTAATTTCACTATTGATTATTGTATAATTGTATAATTTGTATGTGTTAAAGTGTTATTGTGCACTTATATATTTGTGATAAAATAGCTAATCTGTTAAAATTAAAAATCTAAAATTTGCAACAACTTATAAAAAGTATTACTCGTACTATTTAAGAAATAAGAAAGCCATATACGTACTAGCTGTTGAGCGACACTTTTGTGCTATGAAAATAGTGGAGACTAATTTATACTTTGATGATCAATTTCTTAGCGACTGTCTTGTTTGCTTTATAGAAAGAGATCTATTTGAAATTGTCACAAATGAAGTTATAATGGATCTCTTTCAAAAGATGTAAACTCGAAGAGAACAATTGTATTTCACTTTTTATGGGGTTTTGGTATTGTAATATACTTTACTCCCTCCGTAACTTAAAGATCTTCTCACTTTCCTTTTTCGTCCGTAACAAAAAGATTTTCCCATTTCTAATTCTTCCTATCATACCCTCAATAATTCTGAAAATAATACACTATTACAACTACTTTTTCTGGATTTATCCTAAATTCTATAACATTATTCTACTATCTTCTCATCATACCTTCAATAATTCATATCCTCTTTCACTATTCTTAATTTACCTACTTTTGAAATGGAAAAATCTTTAACTTACGGAGGGAGTATTTGATTAGGAAATTCTGGTACACTTTGCTCTACAAATATGCCCCCAATAAATCCTTTTCCTGGATCTGCCACTGTCTTGTCCTACAGTCCAGCCTACGATACGACAGCCTCAATTCGGCCCAGTCGACAATCAGGCGGTTTCAAGCTGGTCCCATCAATGACCTGACAGGATCTTTCTGGGCGATCAATGACCCGACGGATTGGTCTCCATTTTTTAAATTCATTTTTTAGAGTGAAGAATTTTAAAAGAGTCGTTGATCTGAGTTGTCAATCGACCGTGACCGGTTTTTTTCGGTCCTGACCTTCCTATATGTGGGACCTGGTACCCTACTTGGGTTGTACTAGGTTTGATTGCGAGCTGAGATCGTACTTTCAATCATAGAAGCGGGTGAAATGTTTTCAGATTTTAAAATGGAAAACTAAAAATGAAAACAAAAAATTGGAAAAAGAAAATTGAAACTGGAAAATGAAAACATAAAATTGGAGAACATAAAATAGAAAATAAAACTAAAAAATATCTCTGTTAGTAAACAGATCCTCATAATCTCTATAGTGAGATTCACAATAATTCTTCTAAAAATTCCAAACAATTCCTTCTACAATTTCCAACATAATCTTCATCTTCTTCTTTTTCATATAAAAAATCATTCTTCATCCTTCTCATTCAAAGGTTCTCACTTTCCTTTTTAAGATGTTTCATTTAAAGGTTCTCGTTTCTATTTTAGAAAATAATTTATACTCTAAAATTAAAATTTACTCATCAAATATTAAAAAATAATCCATCTGTAACATCACAATTTTCATCAATGACCCGATTATATTATATAACCATCAAAATTATTTCTCAAAATATACTCAAATTATCATTTAATTATTTTATACATAATTGAGCCCTTTTGCAATGGGAATCTTTAAACGGAACGCAGGTGATATTAGCGAGTGAATGGCGATCGAAATGCGGATGTAGGGTGTTACATGCTCTCCCGGCCTTTCTAAGGGATGTGGGCACTAAAGGCGGCGAGGTTCTGACCTGTTTTGGTGAGGATGATCTAGAGTGCCATCTAGATGCCTACCACCAAATAGAGTAGGTGGCGTAGTTTGTTGAGCTGTTAGAGTGGATTCACTCCTCTCCTTCCTTTTGGCTTCAATGGTGATCCGAGTGTCGAGGCCGTTCTGGTGGAAGGTGGTGGGGATGTCAATGGGTTGATCAGTCTCATTACACATGAGTACGTCTCGAGCAGCCCTCCTAGCCTCAAATGAGGTTGTTGCATTGTACCTCTCCTGTTGGGGATGAGGGGAATGGGCAACAACATTTGGTTGCTTAGATCTTTTGGTCTTACCTGTCTTCTGAGCTGCTACTGTTCTCTTATAGCGATGAGAGTTCTCTCGATTAGAGGACCAAATGGTAACTGACTGAAATACTGCAAGTGATATCAAGAGAAAAGGCAGAACAAAGTATAGAGAGAAAGAAAGATATATGATGTATTGATGTTTTCCCAATAGTTACATTTTCCCTAGAGGTGATATTTGTAGTAGTAATAAATACTAAGGGTGTGTTTGTTAGTTTACACATCAAATCCTTACAAGCGAAATTATTGCAAGTAAAGTTTAGTGAACAAGTCGCATGTAAAATAGATTATACATTGTTTGGCTAGACATACAAATTATTTTTAATCTGCATGCAAAGGCGTTGTAGTGCTTTGTAAAAAGAATGCAAAGTATTTTACGATCCTCCCCCCACGTAATATACTTCACATGGTACAATTCAAAATATTTTTAAAAAGTGTCCTACATTATACATTAAATAATCAAGCCAAACTATGTGAACATTTTACGTCTTTACACTTCACATGAAAAATAATTATTTTAAATCAAATCAAACGCCCTCTAAGTGTGTTGCATTAAATGCACATGCATGTGTAAGAGCTTTTTGGAGAAGCCCTAAAATTTATGAAATGATGGCACGTAGTGTCACCAATCTTCTGTGTAGTGGACGAGTTGTTTGATGGACCTCTGCGATAGCCTTGCATTTTTGCTACCCATCAAAATAACACAAATATGATTTGTAAACCTTTTCAAATTTCAAGTTTTTAGCATTGATATACATCTGTGTGACTGTGTAGGATGATACCCCATCTTTAGGGGCCCAGCAAACCCAGCCGAACAGTTGTCTGAAAAGAAGTAAATTGAATTTTGATCACAAACAAGGGAAAAGAGAGCAAGGGTCTAGCAGCCTAAGTCTTTGCTTGGAGTTGAGTGTGAGACTTTCCTTTGTGAGACCTCATTTTCACTTGATGAGCTATGCCCCAAGCAATGTTAATATATATGCATGGAATAACTAATGGAAGTAGTGGATATAAAATCAGCACTATGATGTTCATCATAGTATTTCACACTGTTTGCCGATCCCTTACTACTATTATATAAAGCCCATTCCATGTTCACCCTTGAAGAAACACATACGTAAAGCGCAACAAATAGCCATTGTTTGTGCTTTCCTACACAATGGTAGAAGAAATTGATCCTTCATCTCTTCTAAAAATTCTACAGAATATTTCACATGACCATCTTCCTTCGCTTGGTCTCCATCATGGCAAAAGCTCATGTCTTGGTAATCACTTTTGACTGGGAATTGAAGTCAAGTGTTGAAGTGGGTTTTTTGAAGATTATAATATCATATTGAAGCCATTTGGCAAATAGGAAAACAATATGAACTTAAGAACTTTTCTATTGGGCACATGCCAATATGGCAAGGGAACAGGTTGAGTCAAGAGAGGTACTAAATTAGGATTTGAATATACAATTCCATCCAAGAAATGTCTTGTGGATGGACAGCTCATAGAAGAGTTGATTAAGTTTAAGGACAAGACATCTATGGGGGCCTGGGGATTATATCAAGGAGCTCATATCAATTATGTCGAACGTTAAGAACATCACCGAGGAGGAAAACCTTTATAACTTTGTGTTTGTACTATGGCCATGCATGGGTAGACATGGAGTTAAGAAGGTAAGTCGTGAAGGATATGTCGAGTACCATGGACATGGCATATGGGTTGGTGGAGTGTTTGATGTCAAATGGTTTAACCAGAAACAATGAGAAAGAGGAACCAAACACGCCCACATCTTAAGAGAAGCTAAGGTCTGATGACATCATCGTGACAACATAAGCAAGTGGATGAAGTAAAGATCCAAGGTTGGTTGTTGGGGTTTGACGGTAACCACTTGTAGCGGATCACATGCAAGTCTAAAGAACCAACAGTTGGATGCCTTGAATCGAGTGAGTTCAAAGGAGAATGACTATGTGGGGATGAGTATGTGGGGATGACAATTACTCATGGTTGTGGTTGGTTTGATGAAACCATGAAATTCCTAATGGGCAATGTGTGCATGGGCTGCGTGTGCGCCATGAGGGGCATGAGCTTGGCATGACATGGATTTTATGAGGAATCTAACAGTCAAGGTGTCAACGAGCAAGAAGTTGCGAACCTTGCGATTGGGATTGTCAATTAAAGAGTTACTTTGTTACCTTTGTGACATGAACTATTTGAAAACCTCGGACGCTTAAAGGTGTCAACGATCGCACTGATTACTTCTGCTGGTGGGGGAGGTTTGCCAAGTTTTTTATCACGGTTGTCTTGAACAAAAAGTAAACTGACATATGTACAATATAAGGTAATAAGGTAATATTG